ACTTTCCGATAATAAAGCAAATTCATAAATACTTTCAGTAACTGCAGAAAATATAGCTAACACTTTTGATCAAAATGAGATATCTCCCAGCTCTGAATGATATTCTGATCAAGAGTTATGAGAGTTTTGCTGGAAGCCCTAAAGCTTGCATCAGATAAGGGCGTCACTATGTCTCGAAAGTGACTTTCCCCTTAACACCATTTCGTATCCGTAAGATTTCTCGATAATGCAACACCGTAGAGAGCTCGGGAAGGTCTCAAATTGAAGCTGATACTTGTCGCTAGAGGCTAATAGAGCCCAATTTTTGATATTCATCCTGGATTTGTGGTTACAAAAATATCTGTATTCAAGTAAGAGGAACGGACCCCCCCAAAAGGGTACTGTTTAACCTTTTCAGATTGTAGAGAACACTTGACTACATATATCCTGAATTTTTTTCTGAGAGTCGATAAGTATTCACGGAGTTATAAATTAATTAAGATAAAATTTTAGCAAAAAACTGAATTGCTGGATCTATTTTTAAAAAGGTTACAGCTCAGTCAAAAATAGTTGTGGAAATGTCGTTTTAGCGTAGTTTGGTAGCCAATGATCTATAGTTATAGTTTCAAGAAAAAAATTGAAAAAGAAAGTTTTTGAGGTATTAGTTTATAATTAATTACTGCTGAGTAATGCTAATTAGCATTTATCTGGTAGCTTTTTCTGTTTCTAAATTAACGATTTGTTGGAAATCATGACGTAATAGTTCGTTCGACAGAGATTTTCAAACACTACAAAACTTTGTATTTGCCTTTTCAAAAATTTATCCATAAGAAGTTATTGTAACCCGGGGTTTTCGGTTTCGGAGTATCGGCTTTCTACGAAAGTTTATGTTTCTGACGTGGGCCTTAAGTCAGATTTACTATAAAATCAATTCTATTTCGTTGAACTGTTACTGCCTGAAAAATTATTTTGTGGTTGTAAGCTTAGAACCAAGAACCGCCGTTTTGTTCTAGGTTCTGAACCGGAACTGTGGTTCTTTTCGTTTCGGTTCTAACTCGAGAACCGCAGTTTCAGTTCCGGAACAGAGAACCGAACATCCCTAGTTTCAACGCGTTTTTCCAAGACACTCTTAGATTTTTTCAATCTCCAGATGTCGTCTTTAGAAGCATAATCATCATAAATTTCGTTTAAACTTTGTGGTTTTCTTGTCTTCAGATTAACAAAATTTGTAAGCCGTTTGGCAATATCCAACTAGGGGTTATTCAAATTATAAAGTAGTGTTATTTCAAATAAGTTTGAATAATCGTTTCAACAACTTTATTAACCGAAATATATAAAAAGAATAAAAAAAGACTGAATCTGTCGCTAACGAAGTAATACTAATAGATTAAGTTGATAAATCGACTGAATTCAGAAAAAAATTAATGCTAAAAAATCAAATAATGATATGAATTTATCAAGTATATTGCTGATTATACAATCATACTCCAATATGCATCTTTGCTAACGAGTATCATCACCACTTCTTATATGGCAGAAATTTTCCAGACATAAGGATATTGACCCGTTTTTCGTCTGCTTTTGATTCATCTTTTTCCACTTTTAATGTAAAATCAACTGCACTCATAATTCCATCACCGAATTTTTCATGTATAATTTCTTTCATAGGAACACCATACACCAGCATTATCTCGTAAAAACGATTTAACAGAGGATCTGTTGGTGGGAAATGTGTAATCAAACCACCTTTGGACGGACATTTATGCAAAACTTGAATATAAGAGTCACGTGCAGACTCCGGAATTCCTAATATTTCCAGTAATTTTTGACATTCTTCACTGGAAGCACTAGCCTGGCCATAAATAAGTGCAGCAACCCAAACTTCGCTTCTACCAATCGCTTTCCCTATTGCTTCAAACGTCAGATTCTTATCTTGCTTTGCTTTTAATAGCCCCTGTGTAGTCTCAGTAATATTCATGTTGCAAAGTGATGGTAAGAATCTAAAACTTATTAAAAATTGAAGTTTAATGGATTTCATTTTTTCCTACGCTAAATAGAAAAAGTACTTCTTATCAAACAAAATCGACTGAATTCGTTTATTCCGTGTCCCATCGCACGGTTATTTACACAAATAACAAAAAGGCAAAAATAATTATTTTCTTTTGCTGCACATTATATACTGTTGTTATTATAAGTCGCTTGTAAACATATATTTTGGAACATTTTCCAAATAAAATTCAGAAATTCAGAAAAAAAATAAAGTTGGTTTTGAGTTGCTGAAAAATTCTTTTTCGTATTCAGCACACTTGATAACCCAGAAGATTTTCTATTTTTGGCGTGGGGTACTTCCAAAAGTTTAGGAAAAATTTTGAAAATAGTATTATTTTTCCATGAAAATGTTTTTACGCCATTTTGTTTCAAAATTTTTCCTAAATTTTTGGAAGTATCCCACGCCAAAAATAGAAAATCTTCTGGATTATTGAATGTGCTGAATACAAAAAAACACGTTTCAGCAACTCAAAATCAACTTTATGTTTTTTGTTCTAATGATATGGTAGTAAATGCGATAAGAGTAACGGGAAAGAAAGTAATAGTCAAAAGGTGAGGACTGCTCAAGCTAGCAATCAAAGAGATGAAATTCTATCAAGTTCTGTATCATCCAACTGTGGGATCATCGATCCTGTCACAATTTCTCATAAAAGATTTTTTGGCATCTTTCCAGAAAATCCTGCGTATCAACCTACAAAAAATTTTTCCTCAACTATAGTCTGATTTTGCCCAGTGCGGTATTTTTCCGCGTCACAATCAATAAAATAATAAGAAGAAGATCCTAGGACTAATTACTACTGGAGACAAGTTAAGCTACGTTCACACGACACTTTTTAACTTAGTTTAATCCAGATCCCAACCGAGTTCGAAATGACATCGTTGAGACGCTCCTAGGGATTGACCAATGTGAAAATACTGAAAATTACCTTCTTGAATAATTTGCGGGATGCTGTATGACCTACAAATGCGCTTCGAACTGCATATGTGTATAAGTTATTTGACCATAACGCATGTGAAGAAGATGCAGCTAATCACTGATTGATCGATGTTTACTAGGGGGCCCTTAACTGGTCAAGATACGCTGGGACTGAAAGCCAGGTCTAAGTCACTAGTGTCATTGTGAGTTTACGTTGATTGTGGCAACTTAGGCCTAAATTTCAGTCCTAGCATATCGTAACCTCCTTAACCGAGGTCTATAAACTTGGTTAACTTAAACAAATTGGCAAATTGCCAAACTGAGTTCTTAAACTAAGTTAACATTCTGAATGGGTTAACGCGGGACAAGATTGGAAAGATTAGGGTTAAATTAAATAATGTGGAGACTTCCATTTCGCCAGTAAAAAAGCACTTAACGCTCTCTACTGTGATACGTGTCTTTCATCTTTGGATCGCCACCGTCAATGGAAAAGCTACTTTCAAAATATTGGGGAAAATATGATGTATTCATTAAATCGCTCTCTTTGGTGACCATAAATGATCCTAACTTGAAAAATAACGAATTCTGTAAGCTGATCACCTACGATACAATAACGATGTCAACGAGTAAATATGGCTGCTCTAAGCGACACTTTTGAACAAACGTCTCTCAAAAAGAAATTCCAAAAAACGGATCTTTCAAAAAGTCTGAAAGAGATTTTTTTCAAAGGGACTATCATGGAATCTTTAAGAGTTTCTCGTTTTTCGAATAATAGGCAGAGAAATCTAAAATCTCTAAGGAGTTCCGATACTATTCATCACTGTTCTATTTTGATATGCTATGTAAAACTCGACTGTATTTTAAAAATTTTCTAATTTTTCTCTAGGTGAGTGATCACTGATCATTAAATACTTACCTGAACTCAAAGTCGGATGCAATAATGTTGATATGCATCTCATTTTGAGTACGAAGAAAATTAAAAAAATATATCGTAGATAGATTCGGAGATTTGAACTACGGTGGAAGATTTAAAGGGATTCCTTGTGTTTCCCCTTTAAACTTCCTGAAGAGTTTCATTTTACCAGAGAATCGCTGGTGACTTTTATTGAAAGTATCGACTGAGGTAACTTTTTTCAGTGTTGGATCTGAATCGTCTAAAAATGAATAAAATCTCAGAAAAAGTTAAAAAACAAAAGTTGTTGGAAGATTTATTGAACAAAACAAACATTGTGAGTGTTTATTTATTATTTAATTCATGATATTGACTATATACAGTATCAAATTCTAGTTACTCTTCTCTATAGTCACTAATTAAAGCAGGAATGAAACACCTGTTTATGATATTATCTGTAATTAATTATAGGATGATTTTCCTAAAACACCAAACGATAAAGATGACACTGATTCTACTATACTTCCAAAAACCTACGAAGATTTTCATGAGGTAAGTTTCTTATATAATTTATTGTTTTAAGACTAATTTGTGAAAGATGCTTATTTTAGGAGTTTTCAACCTATTTTAAAACAAGTATTTCATCGTTGCTACCAATCGAGAATCGTTTACTAGAATTGGAAAACACGTTAAAACAATATGCACAAGCATTTTTGAGAGATGAAAATGACGCGTTCATTCTACGGAAAAAACAAACTAAACACGATTTATTAGATGAACGTTAGTTATTTAAGATGAAAACTTCAACCTGTATCAGAAACGTAAATGTTGGTATGTGACTGTGTCTTTATTCTCTTTATAGAATTAAGTCAGATCGAAATAAGCAACGATAATGAATTAAATGCAATATTAAAACGGCGAAAGCTACTGCTAGAAATGAGTGGTGAGACTGAGAAATCAAGGTATACAGTAGAAAATTTAATATACAACAGTTTTCGGAATGATATTTATAATAAATGGTCAGAGAATGTTGATGTCCTCGATATTTTGAACAAAGTAACATCAACACAGGACTTTAGAGTAGGTGAAGGTATAAATTTCTTTTTTAATATATAAAGTCCATTTTTTATTATTTAGGCAGGTTTTCTACAGCCATGGAATGATATTATACGCCGTGAATCAAGTCAAAATTTGCTTATCGATGCCTTTTGGTATATTTATTTAAAATACTTTATAGTAAGTTTTATTTGAATTTACTGAGCGCAATATTAAATTTAGATGAATTATTGACTAAAATTTCAGTATTTAGAAATCAGATGAAATGGAAGAAGAGTGTGAAGCATATTTCTCAAGAATAGCTGATAATTATGTTAAACTATTACTTTCAGTTGAACCATGGTTTCGTGATAAATTTTTCAATGTTAGTCTGACTTTTTTACAAATAGTGGTTTGTTGTTTGAATTATTAATAATATGCCATTCTTTTAGATTTATCCCTCATATTTGTCTCAAGCTATTTACATGGCCTTTTTTGACACATTTCCAGATAGTAGAATGAATTTAACCGATAAATTTAAAGAATATATTTCTAGTATAATTTCTGAATGGATTTCAGGTATGTATATTTTATCTAATAGAAAAATAAATAAATCTACTTCGCAAAAATATTTTAGGTACGCAAGCGACAGCAGATGCCTATAAAAATTGGACGATTAAAGTTGATTCCACAATGGTTGCCAACGTACAAGAACATACTGTTTCTTCGTCGAATGATAGTAAGTGAAAATTGTCAAAATGACAGTACATTAAATCTGTTTACCTTTTTTTTTATCTAGTTTTTCAAAAAATTGCGCGATTAGAAGAAGAATTAGAACTACTTGGTGAAGAACAAAATGAAAATATGAAAAGTTCACGTTCAGCACGTTCAAGTGCAAAAACAACGACCAAAAAGGTACGCTAGTATATAAATATGTTAGAGTAAAATAGTATAAAATAATTGAATTTATTTCTTTGTACTCAGGATTCTTTATTATTTTTGGATAATGTTGTTGACATAGAAAATGAATTATTTAATCTAAATACTCAAAGTGCTTTAGTCACACATTATCTTCAAAAACAACATATTCAAGATACAACGCCAAGATCGGGAAGACAAGTTAAACGCACACAAATACGTGGTTGGAATACTCATCGATAAATTACATTGACTCTTTAATTTCAAAAACTTTCTATCTACATTTTTTTGTTGTAAAACTTTTATCTGATTTATAATGTAAAATAAGAAATAAGATCTTAAAGTTTACACAGTTTGGAGGTCCGAAGTACACGAGTTATCGCTAAAAGAATCCACATATGCAAACGATGCAGAATATTTGTGTTCGGATGTATGATAGAAGAAGTATACATTGTAAGAAGTACGTGTAATCATTAGTCTATTTACGACAATCTTTTGCATGATCAGAAATTCATTTTGCAAAAGTCAAACTAATTTGATATTTCAACAACTAAAAGTATTTCACTGCGTAAAATCATATTCTTTTTAGTACATGTGAACATTGTTGACATTCATAGAAAACATTAAAAAATAGTATGGCGAAATATAATGTGATTTTAAAAGATACTCAATAAAATATACATTTTTACGCTATTTCATATAAAACTTTCATGTGAGTTTCGCAGTAAAAAAATAAACTTCAAACATTCTTTGCGACAAAAAATATGAAAGTAAATGAGTTCAAGTTATTAACATGAAATTAAGCATTAGCATTGGCTACAAGACGATCGGTATTTAAAACTTTAATTCCAGTGATACCAACATCAGACGCTGGACGATTATTTTTCATATATTCAACTAATTTTGAAAAATGTGCTCTGGCAATGGCATGTTTATAACGAATTTTTTTACAAAATGGTTCACTATAACTCTAAAACACACAAAAAAATAAAATAACAGCAACAATTTCAGACTATCTGTTGTGCAGATATAGATCAAATACGTACCCCATCAAGATCGTCAATTTTTAAGTGAGCTATTGCTTCATTTAACGTCAACAAAATACAATTCCACGGAGTGAACTCAGTTCTTTTATTCCAGCGTACAAAGGTTAAATTGTACACATCCCCTTCTTCACTTAAAGCTGAATGACCATCCCAGATACTTTTATATAAATATTCAATATCACTGACCTATAGAAGTTAGATAGGGTAAATATCAACAAATAATGTTAAAAAATACACTTACAGTTAAGTGAAAGACACATTGTGCTCCATCATTGTAGGTATATTCCTCTTTTTCAACTTTTTTAAGCAAAAATCTAATAGAAATAAAAATAGAAAAATTAAAAAAATGTAGGAGAGAATAATAACTTTACATACTTGTATTTTGTATGATCGGAACGTTTGTTTGCAATATTTTCTAATCTCAAACAATGTCGACATTTTCCTATTTTAACATTTGTAGTACTAACAGTGAATTCTGTTGACGGATAATACTGTTGACAACTTCGACAATAATGTGTTTTTTGTTCAACTACAATTGGATCTTGCGGTACCTGAAAGATAAATGAAATAATAAATGATGGTATTATGAAATATTGTTATCAAAAGTTTACCTTTAAGTGTCGAACTACACCAGGATTGAACCTAAACGAAAATTAAATGAATATTTATAAATTTTTACGCTAAATTCAACTTACGTTGGCGTTTTTATATATTGTAAAAATAACGTTGATATTCGTTTTCTTAGACCAGATAAATTTTCTTCTTTAACACCGCGCATTAATAAATCAGCTTCTCGATCGATCAATTGAATTATTTCTTGTGTTAGACGACATTCGTGTTCCTAAAAAGCACATTCTACATGAATTTATCATATAAAATACTGAAAAACGTTGTCTATTATAATGCGTACTTTTACGGTATGTTTTAATGTTAAAAGTATATCCAAACGTTCGTCTAATGTTAAGAATTTCATGGTTATTGTATTATAGATTTGCATTAATTCACGAGCACGAATAGAATAAGGTGTACTAGAAATAGATGGAAAGAATTTGAAATAGTCTCACTTGTTATTTTATCACTGATTTTTTAACAATAGGGAAACTATATTACTCCATTTCTGTTGTACTACCATCTTTGTATTTCCATTTTTTAGGCTCGGCAACACGTTCAAGAAACTTTTGAACAGCTATTTCTTTGTTATATCTATTTGCCTCTGCTTTGTAACGATCAATAGTTGCTAGAATAAACCCAAAGTTAGATGTACTGAAAACTGCTATTTGATGTGCTTTTCACCTAATAATTCTGTTTCTTCATCGACTAACATTGCTAGTGCTGCTTTTCTAGCGGCTCCTTGTTTCGTGGCATTTATTTTTGCAATTTCTTCTTCACGCCATTCTAAAAAAACAATAATATATTTATTCAGTTTTGTGTATTTATATTTTGCGATAGTCTACTTACTTTCAAGAGCAGAATAGACAACATCAAAATCATCTTTTGTACGAGGATGAAGTCGTCTCTGAAGATCATTCTGAAATCGGTCTTGCCGTTCATCGTGTTGTTTTTGTTTTTGATCCAATTCATATTGCACACGTGTATGAAATGCTAGAAAAATACAGAATTGTACATATTTGACATATAAAAAATATTGTAAAAATACTGGACCTTCACGAAGTGTATTCACATCGCGTTTTGCCAACCATCTACGATAATATTTCTGTATTATAATAGCCTTGAAATAAGCAAGAGACATTTTATATTGTTTAGACAATTTTTTTGTGTTAACTAGTACTTTTTCTGTTAAAATTGTAAGTTTTTCATCAGCCGTTTGATATCTTTTTGGTGTTAAACAGCGATCATTATCTTCTGATATATAAACACCCGGTTTTGTCATCTGCGTTGACATATCGTTTAATGTTTGAACTGGTCGATGTTTTGATTTTATCGTTTGTGTATCGCGACAAACACGTATGATACCTTTATCAGGCCGTTGTGGTGGTAATGTTTGAGCTGATGCGTGATGAAATTCTTTGCCAGATAAACGATGTCTCATCCCACCTAGATAAGGTTTGCGTATATGATTGCGTTCAATTTCAACCACAACATCACGACTGATACTTGGTCCTAAAAATATCGACTCTTAAATTCAATACATTTACGAAAAAAGGAATAAAAACCTTCTTCTAATCGAACTGTAATAACATCGGGCATTGAATAATCTTGGCGAGGTTTATATTGCCTTAGTGGTTCATTCGGATCTTTTGATCTTAATTCTAAATTCACTGTTGTGTTCGGTTCAACATCGATTTCGGATAAATTTAAATTTGGCTTTAATGGAACACCTAAACTACGAGAAAAAGATTCTATCGCTTCTAGTACAGTTTTAATCTCAATACCTACCTTTGTGACTAATTTCTAATATATCAGCATTCATTCTTAATTCTTTGGCAAAATGATATAGTAGTTCTTCAATTGGTGACAAAAGAGAAAAGGCAACCGGTACAATTTGACCGCTTGGTTGAAAAAACATTTTAACTGTGGCTAGTTTGGGTTCTTGTCGTTCGGACTGATCACCATTTTCTTTCTTAACATCAGTAGTTTCGTCAGCAGTTTCATAGTTTTGCCGATCCATTGATGCGTCGGTTGACATGGGATCGGTTCTAAAAGAAGCCTAAAATTGTGAAAATGCTTTTCATATGGAAAACGGCATGAACTGAATGTACTGCTTTTATCAATGAATCTAAATAGCTGTTTGTGAATTGTCATGAAAATCATTTACAGAAACGTGACGAAAGAGATATCGATACTCTTAGATTTGGAGTTCAAATAACATTTGAATTTAAGCTTAGCATAACAAAGAATATTAGACGCAAAAGAACATGCCTGATTTAGTTGTCTTAGCAGATGAACCAACTCTTTTTCTGTATCACCATTTTTATTCCATTTTCTTCGAGGCTACTTAGCAACCGACCCTCAATTATCTTCACAATAAACTCCCTATCTGTTTGGTGTAGGTGTGCTAGTTATGCGAAAAGTAACACCACTCGAGCCAGCTTCAAGCTCTTTAAAGAACATGTTCTACTGTGACACCATCTATCAAAAGTCGTATTTGGTGAACCACGATTACGCATCAACGTATAGAATAGTCAAAACGAAAAAGTAAAGAAGCTAAAAAACTAAATAATCAATAATAAAGTCAAATAAATGTAACATATTTTACAGAAAAGTCCTTCAGCAGTGAAGAGAGAATACTCTTAGAATCTCGTACAGTCAGTGGCGAGCCACCATTGTGGCAAAGTGTGGCAGTTGCCAACCAAAAACTTTTATTCGTTATGGATTTTCCTATACGACTATATTTTTTAGAAGTTTCTTACACTTTTTCATAATTTTGCCACACCAAAAAAGATGACCCTGGCCCGCCGATGCGTACAGTGAGCAGTGCCGAGATTTTTTTCACGGATTAAATTGATAGTTAAATTAATTATATGTTACCTAAGATTAGTCTTCACCGCTTCGACTAATATCTTAACAAATTTTAGCATCAAAAAATAAAAGTTCCGAGATTTGAATATCATCAAACAAAAGATGTCAGTAATTAACAAAAACTAGGGATAAAACTTCTTATTCATCCCCAAGGACTATTTTTCTTCGTCTCTCTAGTAAGGAACGCAGAAACAACTTGAAATTTCAGTGATTTATAATTAATAACACATCTTCGAAGAAGACATTAAGAATGATACAGAAAAGCATCATCCTAATGTCTCACCGTCATATATAAATTCTCGAATGTAGAATATGGTAATAAAAACGCCAAATTGTTCCTGGTATGGATGAAGCACCATCTCACATTGAATATAGAAAAACGGTCTCAATCTGTTGTTTTCTTTTCATTCGCTTGAATATCATCCATAAATAATTAGTATTTTATTAATTACTTAGTAGTAATAACATTAGCGATTACATACACATTTTTAGCATTAGGAAACAAGCACCATCAAATAAATAAACGACACACATTTTTTGAATAGGATGATTGCTGGTGTTTTTGAATTTTGAATGCCAATTCAGTATTTTATCTAACATTCTTCTGTTTTCAACAACCGATCCATAGTAACAATATACGTTCGATCTTTTTTTTTGTATGCATCTCTGCAATTTGCAATGAAAATGGTAGAATTTCACTGCAAGACAACAAACTATTTTTTTGATATTAAGTGCTACCTTTTGCATTTAACGATCGAGTATTTTGTGAGAATATTCTCATTAATAATGATATCATTCACATTTGTGTTTGTTCTGGAATTTCTTAATAGGTTAATATATATTTCTGTATTTTTCACCTTTCATTATTTTGTTCTTACTGATTATTTTTTCATCGATCTAATCGGGTGCATCGTCTTTATTCAATGATAATAAGCGTTAAAGAACTCGATGTGATCAGATTGATTTTCTATTGTGTCATTGCTATTATTATTATCATTTTTAGTAATGACTATTATTATCTTGCTATTAAATAGTTTTATAATTTAATTATGTATGAAAATTTTAAAATCATTCTAAATGTGTTATTTTCAGAAATAAAAAACTAATTATCCAATAACAATCCAAAAAATGGATAAAATGTTTTTTTTAGCAAAATAGTTCAACAAGTAATCAATCTCAAAACAAAAATTTTAAAGGTTTTATGGATTTCAGTGTGATTAGAGTATCATGACAAATGTATCATCACAATAGAGACAAACAACAGAGTGAAAACTACTGTCGATCTGTATTCATATAGTATACCCAAGTAAGAATATTGTACAATTGGAAAACGAAGATATATTTAAAAAATTTATTTTAAAAAGTTTTTTTGTTAGACAATGAGTTATACCGAAACATATCTATATAACATATTTGAAAACATGTACAATACGGGCAAAATATTACAAACACGATTTTCATTTTTAAACTTCCAAATGATATTCGATTTGACGATTTGTTTTAAACTATTAAAAATAGTACTAATCACCGGAATGTAAAACATTTTAAATTTAAAAAAAAGAACTATGTACAGTTAAAAACGAACTGTATAAGAATAACTAAATAAACTACAGTTACATGAAATCGAACTACAAATGATGATGAACGATTTATTATTACTGGATTTATAGTCGTCAGTTTATTCGATATTATAGGTGTTCTATCACGTTGATCACAATATTTTTGACAACTATTTTGAATTGTTTGCCACTCTTGACGGCAAATTTTTGATACACGAGTAATATTTATGAGTTCTAAATCTTTCCATTCATTTGGCTGTGAACATCGTGAAAACAGGGAAAATTCGATAGGTGGACGCTTTAAATTTCCTCGTATATACGCCATATCAATGTGACGTCTAAGTTCAGGTTTTAACCATTGTCCTAAATCTGTATCAATTTGATCATCATCATCATAATCCTCATTTAATAATAAACGATAAATATCACCATATTTTAAATAGAATAATGAACAACTACAATAAAGTGGATTATCCATGAGAGAAAGACGTTTTAACGATGGTAATTGATCAAAATTACATATATCTAATAATTGAATATTAGAACTAACTAAATCAATTTCAGACAATGAATGAGCACCACAAAATGTTTTTTTTAATGGAATCAAATTATCATCTAAATTTAAAGAACAGTTAGTAGATGCGCTGCAGATACACAAAAACTAACAAGAGAATAGAATTTAGTTTATCCATTAAATATAGAAAATTTTCTCACGATTACTGATGAGAATAGACAGAAATGAATCCTTTTTATGCA